ATGAATTATATTATTTTTGGTGTTTTCTCAAGATACTTTATTAAAATAATATAAATTTAAGGTTTTTTTTTCTTAATATTTAAGAGATAAAGTAGATAAATATTAACCATATATCTATGAGTTGGGATTCATTCACTTATACACAATTTATCATTTTTTAAATAAAAAAGATAATTATTTTTAATAAATATAAATAAATCTCAATATTGAAAATTAAAAAATGAAATATTGAGATTTTGCATAAGTATAAAGTATAAAACTTTTGTATAAATGAATCTTTATATATATATATATATATATGAGGATAGTGTGGAATAAATCATCCTTCCAAATTTTTTTTAAAAGAATTATTTAAAAACCTACATTTTAATTAATATTTTCAACAACTAACTGTTAGATTAAAATTTTTATTCATATAAATCATACATGTTAATTTTTATATTGATCTAACACTTGTAGCTCTTTGATTAAAGAAACTCTATTTACTAATGTATATTTAATGGTATTAAATTTCCTTTAATTAACAAAGTGATTAGCTTTATTAGACCAATTTAAAATTTGACATACATGAATAAAACTTCTAATTCAATGATTAGTTTTTAAAAATATTAATTAAAAAATAAACTTTTAGATAAATTCTCTAAAAAATTTTAAGAAAATAACTTGAAACACACTTTTCTCTATGTGTATAATCTCAAACTTTGACTAAATACCCACCACCAATTTAATTTGAGGACAATGGCTTTTAAAGACATCCTTTTTCTTTCAATACACAAAAACTTTTACCTAATATACTTGATCTGACAATACTTCGTGTCTATTTTTCTCATGTAATAATTTACTTTAAAATATAATTTTTTTTTATTTTCAATTTTTTTATTTTTTATTAATTTTTATTAAAATTTTTAAATATTTTTAAAATTTTAAGGAGAAAAATTTTATAATTACAATTATAGCACAATATAATAACAAACCAAACTTTAAATACCTAGCACCGATTTTTAAGCACAGTAGCTTTTGAGACAACAATTTTTTCTTTTTCAACACCCACAAACTCACACAAAATAACAATAAATCCTAAAGCAAAAACTGACGGTTGATATATATATATATATAGAGATCGAATATAGAATTTGACTTCAGATTTATACATGTTTAAGTGGGGATATATGCGACACCTGGTGGCTTGGTCCTACTCCGATTGCATGTCTCAAAGACCACCGCCACCATGGATCTCATTCAACCTCTCCATCTAACAAACAATTAACTTCGGGCCATCTGGCCCTATCATTAGAAATAATTGATCCATCTGTCGGGTGGCATTGTCAAGCATCTTTCCCCTTCAAAACGTCTCCTTTCTTCTTATTACCTTTCATTCTTTCCCTTCTTTTTCTAGACAGGATAAATGCTTGGAGAGCCCACGAGATTACAAAAATAATAATAATAATAAAAAGAACAAGAAGAAGAACAAGAATATGGTTTTTCTAAATTTGATTAGTTCTTTGTTATATCTCTTTTTCTTGCCGACGGAACTTGCTCTAGTATAGTAAGACAAAGGCATTAATTAAAGTTTAATTAATTAATTCATACTCAAGTAATTTTAGTCTAATTCATCAACAAATAAAGTGAAAGGTTGATTCTATATATTCTATGTCCTTAAAGAAAATTAAGGAAAACCAAAAGAAAAAAACAAATATCTATTGAGATACGATTTCAAATTTGTATCTCCAAAAGTGTATTTATTTTATTTGATTTATATATTATACAAATTAAATTTAAAGTTTTTTATTTTTATTAAAAAATATTATTATTAAATTATTTATATCGTTAATTTACAAAATAATTGTTAAGTGAAAAAAATCCCATTCTAATTAACTTGAACTATATCTTTGAATTAAAAAAATGAAAATAAAAAAATTAACTGATTAAATTATAATATTTCATTCTATTATAATTTAATTGTTCAAAAATTTTTCTCTACCATCCACTGTATTTTATTTTCTTGGACCTAACCCAAATGTACTATAAATTAAAATACATATATTTAGTTTTAAACCCACATAAGTTTACGACACTTATTAATTACGGAATATTTTGAGAGATTTACAGTACTTGACCGTATCAGACATGTTATCACGCTTCGCTAGCAATTAATGACTGGCGGAAGCTGGCGCGCGGCAGATGAGTTGGACGAAAGGACTGAGATTTGAAAGGTGGCTCTCAACCAATAACGAACCGTCCGAACTCGGTGGGGATTGGTATGTTGTTTGCTTTTTCTTTCTTTCATGAAAAACTTAGGCTGCCCAAGATTCTTGTCTTTGATTTGATGCTTTTGGAGGGAAGGAATTCTGTTCTCTTGGTGGCTAGTGTTCGAGAATGGAAATGACATTTTCCAACAAAGATGGGAAAAAAGAAGAAGAAGAAGAAGAAGAATAGAGAGGGTGCTATTCTTCCTCATATAAAAAGTTAAAATTAAAAAATATCAAGGATTATCCTTCATCAATTAATAAGCGGATTGATAAGGTGTTTGATAAAATGCTAAAGAGGGATTTTGTTGATTTCTTGGAATCTAACTTGTTATACCAATAATCTAATTTAGCTCTCTAATTGAGTCAAGTTTTATAATTTTATTGAAATTCTAAGTAACTATCTAATTTGGAGAATATTTAGAAAATGGACAAGTGATCGGATGTCCTCTCCACTAAGGACATCACATGAAGGTAGTGATCGGATGTCCTCTCCACTAATTTTCTCTCGTTCATTTAGACTACCCTAACCTTTCCTCTCGTATTCACCCTCTTCCTCTAGCTTTCCACACACCCACATGGGTAAATTTCTATCATGGATCGATATCTTCTATTGAGCGTTGAAGTGCCAAGCTAGAGATCAACTCTAATCTCTAACTAAGCTCTAATGCCTTTCTATTTTGTAGGTGTCCACTAACCATCTTCACTCAACATTCTATTCAAAAGCCTCGTTGTCATTTTTTGGTGTTAACAAGATTGTTGAATTGAGACTATGTAAATGCGTGAGAATGGAATAGGTAAGGTACCCC